CCTTTTCTGCTTTGAAGGTGATCCATACTTCTATCCACAAGGCCTTCCCATGTGACCACACCACCCTGAAACACATATTTGTCTGCTTCACTGAGGAAAGAGCATGAGCTAGGATTTTTGGAGTATTTTAATTCTATTGGGTTCTCTTTCCAGAACCAGCCTGTTTTCCTTTTCTTCCATGCTGTCTGAAATTTTGTACTTAGAGCTGCAGACAAATGCAGGCCTGGGAGGGGTGTCTGAGACACCACATGAGTGTGCTGCTATGTAGGGGATCTCTACAGACCAGAGAAAAGGCTCACCAAAAATCTTAGAAAGAACCTCAGCAAGTTAACAAAGAGAAATGCCAAGTCCTGCACCTGGAGAGAAAAAAAACCATGTGTCAGTACAGATTAGGGACTGGATAGCTGGAAAAGAGCTTGGCAGAAAAGATATTGATGGTTCATGAGGCTGCAAGGGTGCCCTTGCAGCAAAGAGGGCCAAGAGCCTCCTGGATTGTGGCAGGGTTGTGCTGGCAGCAGGCTGGGGAAGTGATCCTGCCCATTTACTGAGTGCTGCTGAGACACTTCTGTGTTCTGGGGCTAGTTTGGAGCTCCCCTGTGCAAGAGGAAGTTATTTTAGTTAGCACTCATTCCTGGCTTTGAGGCAATGAGGAGTCCTTTGTTAAAGTAGCTGGAAGTAAAGATTGAGGTACTTTCCCTCATAAAATAGGAACCAAGAGCCCTCTTGGTCTGAGAGTCTGTGTTGTGGGAACAAGATAAAATGCATTGTTGTGTGTCTCCATCAGCACTAAAAGAGCCTGAAAGGCTGTAGGGGATGCCATGATGTGCCTGTCCTGCCTTGTCTCAGAGACTCTGCTGATGAGCAGATGCTTTTGGTGTGGGAGTGTACCTGGACAGATTGATCTGCTGAGAAACTGCACGTGGAGTTTTAATTCTGTTTACTGGAGACTTTTCCCCCTCCATGTCAAAATTACTTGTCTTGTAGCTTTGTGGCTGGCTAAAATTCATGGGCTGCCTCCCTCCAGCCTGCTGCTTTTTGCTTAGGAAGTTGGAAAAGGGGTCTCTTGGGCAGCTGAGGGCTCTGTCCCTGTGGTGAGGGGCTGCAGGAAGCTGGAGCAGCTCTGGCTGGGTGGTCAGGCTCCAAACATGATGTCAGGAGGAGTTCCAAAACTCAGATGTGAATCACAGGCTGCCAGGGACCGATGGGTATGGGTTTCTCTGGGGCTGGACTGAAGGCACTTGAGACAGTAATTCATGTTCACACTCAGGTGTTTATTATTTCTGATCAGTGAAACAGCCTCACTGCTGTGAGTTCAGCAGCTTTTCATTAGAAGGCACAAAATGGCCAACAATCTCTTAGTACAAGGGCTTTTAAGACTAAACTATCCAATTAAGCACTGACAACTGGATTATTTTCCCTTCTAACCCAATAACTGATCCCACAGAGCTGCAATGGGGACTTTCTGCCCAATTACAAAATGCCACCCAAACCCATGGAGAAGAAGGAAGAAGAAGGTGAAGAACAGCCTGCCTCCACCCCAAAGCCTCCATCTTGCTTCATATTTACTTCTATATTCTGAAACCCCAAACTCTAAGTTTTCCACCCTGTGATATTACGCACTTCTAATCAACTACACACCCGTAATCCCAGTGCTACCAATCAATTTTGGGAGCCTTCTCCATGGCCTCAGGTCAAATGCAGTGTTCTCTTGTGGATCTGTGCCTTTCAGCACAGAAAGTTTAAAATTCTCAGTGTTCAGGATTCCAACAGAGGGGCATGCTGAGGACTCAGTGGTGAAAGGGTGACCTCAACAAACACAGCAGGGTAAAATCCCTTTGCACCACAGAGTGTGGTGAGATGCAGCTGCATGTGAGAGGAAGCCACTTTTTCTGGAAGTGCAGAATGATTGGAAATGGTGTTAGGGTGCCATTAAAACCAAACAGTATCAATATCTTGGGAAGGTAGGAAATATTCTCACTTGAGTATTCCTCAAGTACTGAGGGCAAAGAGAAACTACCCTGCTTTACTTCAGAGATCTTCCTGTGATTCCCATTATTTATCATTCCATAATAAAGGCTTGTAGTCATGATATTTTATGAAAAGTCCTTTCTTTAGGATTTTTCCTCCTGAGAAGCTGAGAGGCCTCAGGAACAGAATGTAAACATTGATTATCTGCTGCTGTGGAATGCAGCAGGTGCAGCTGGGATTGGCTCATGTGGTTGTTTCTAATTAATGGCCAATCACAGTCAGCTGGCTCAGACTCTCTGTCGAAGACACAAACCTTTGTTATTCATTCTTTCTTCATTCTTTCTTTTTCTATTCTTAGCCAGCCTTCTGATGAAATCCTTTCTTCTATTCTTTTAGTATAGCTTTAATATAATATATATCATAAAATAATAAATCAGCCCTCTGAAACATGGAGTCAGATCCTGCTCTCTTCCCTCATCCTGAGACCCCTGTGAGCACGGGCACAAAGGCTCTGATGTTACTTTGCAGCACTGAGCCCATGGATGCTGGTCTGCATCTTGAGATCTCCCTGGGCACCCTTGGAGCCCTCGTGCTGCTGAGCTGAAACCTCCCCAGCACGGAGGGCAAGTGTGAGAGAGCCTCCAGTGCTAGGGAAGATGAAGAACCTCTTTTTTCTGTTTTGTACCAGCTTGTGCTGTGACACTTCACTGCAGCAATGGACTGCTGCTGTGGAGGGAAGTGGCTGATTTCCTTTCTGGGGCTGTTTTTGGTTCAGTCATTCCCCACAGGGACAGTGAGTATCTTTTCAATGACTTCTTCAGGAAACCACACCACGGTTTTCCTCTGCCATTGCGAAAGCGCGCTCTGAGATCCGAGGCGCTCGTGATTGATGAAGTTATGAACTGCATTTCTTTCAGAACAAATCCCTGCGTGCCTGGGGCACGGCTGCCTCTTGCCTGGGGGACCAGAGCTGGTGGAAAGAGGTGCTGACTGTGGCTGGGGGCTTGGCTCCTGAGCTGACCTACTTTGGCAGTGACCTTGATTTGCTCAGAGGTGTTTGTGTACTCGTGATCAGCTTTGCTGTGTGATTAAGCTGGTCACGTGCCATCTCACTTTTTTTTTTTTTAAGGGACTAACAGTAAGATTTATTTTTGCTGTCTCATTAGCCTTGTTTCAAGGGATCAGAGGAAGAGGAAATGCAAGGAAGGGGAATCCCAAGGAGTCCCAAACTACTGTGGAGACAAACTGTCATGGATACGGTGACAAAATACCATTTGATTCTCCTCTGTAGGAGAATTCAGTCAGGAAGTAGACTCCATGGCATTTTTATCACGTAGGTCCTTAGAGTACTTTGGCAACATAAATGGAAGATTTGAACTTTGCTTAAATATATGGGTAACTTTTGTGGTTCTCCTCAGAGAGAATTTTTTTTAGGCATTGAACATCCAGCAGGTGGAGGCTGAAAAGACAGGAAATATTCAATTTCCTAGAATTTCAAGAAAGCTTTGTGAAAAAACATTTCTCTGAACTGTTCACTGTTTAGTGGGGCATGCTGATTTTTGCTCTGATCATTGAGTTGACATCTTCTTAACTTTAAAACTCATTTCAAGAGACATGCATAGTTCTTAACTCCTGTGATGCTAAAATGTAGGACTGTGATTGTTAGGACTGGGTGAGCATTTGGGACATGGTAGAGAAAGGGCTGGCTGAAAATTAAATTGAGAATTCTGCTCTTTATGTATTTTTTTTCTGCTCAAATGGTCAAGACACTTAAAATAGCTGAATGGAACTATCAAATATAGACAGGTATAAAATAGCAAAGCTGGATGGATACTTGATTTAAATTTTTTTCTATAAAACTGATATGAAATTTTTGTTTGAGATGAACAACAGTTTGGTTTTTGCATTAGTGCATGGTGACTTGTGCAGTGTTCTGGTTCTGAAGCTAAAATGCTGACTATTGCAGGTATTCTTAAAGAGAGAGGACTGGGGTGAATTTACAAACCCTTTTTCCTCCACCCCCTTTTTTCTTTGTTCATTCCAGCTCATCTCAGCCTTCTGTCTGAGGTTGTCATAGGTGGTCCATGAAGTTTCCTAATGCAGTGAAGTGTGAGTTCAGCCTGCACCCTCACACAGAGAGGTGTCAGAAACACGCTGAGTTTAGCTATAACTAATTTCTGCACTAATAATCAGCTGAGACTGAAGAGAATGGGTTTGGGTCTGAACCTAGCACAGATAAACAGCCAGTGTCTGGTTTTACTGGTAAATTGAGATGCAGCAACCTCATCCACCACAGCAACACCATTGAGTCTGTAGCTGTTGGGCTGCTGGGGCTAAGAGAGAAGCTGGGAAAATAGGGAGGCAGTAGGGCCTGACCTGCAAATAGCTATGGGTCTGAATGAGAGCCTTGCAAAACAAATGTGGTTATGGATTCAATGGCATTTCATTGAATTTGACTTCAGTTTGTACTGATTTAGCTTTGGTCACTTCTGGTGCCAGCTGGCCTCTTACTGTGCCTCTAGCAGTGTGTCCACACGTTGTCAGAGATGGAAAAGGGGTTGGGTTATTTATTTGGGCAAGGACCAGAGAGGAGTTGTTGGGTGGGATGGACAGTGAGCCCTCAGCAGCAGTGATCCTCCCTTCAGTAGCTGGTGGTACCACGACAATGACTTGCCTGATCTTACAGTGCCAGGAGCAGAAATTTAGATAATTTAAGCTTGAGAAATTCTGAATTTGCTGTTCTGGCAGAGCTGAAGAAAATTATAACAAGCAACTTTAGGTTTTTTTGGCTAATAACTCATGTCTACATACATGCTTCAGCAGAGTTGGTTACAGTGTGATCATGTTGACAGGATGTTAAGAGAGGCACATCCCAAAGCTAACCCTTTGGATGGATGGATAAAGCTTCTGCACCTTGCAAGGAAATGAGTATTTGATCCCTGAGCTGGAATAATCTATTCCTTTTGCAAACTGTGACTACACTGATGTTTTTAAGGTGTTTTTTAAGTTTGCTGTTTTTTCCTCCCATTCAGGTTTTTGAAAGTATTTGACCAACAGAACATGAGGCATGGAAGAGTTCTGAGGTTATCAGCTGCTTTGGGCTGAGCATCATCATCTTTGCCCAAGTGGATTTAGGCTTCCAAGACAGGCCTTCAGGTAAAACCTCCTCTCTTTCACAGCTGATGCTATTTAGCAGGGAACTTTCCACAGGGTTCCTTCCAACAGTGTAATTCTTTGCAGTCTAGAGGATTAAATAGTGAAGATTTTAATTACTTGCAGTCTAGAGGATTAAAAAGCCAATTAGATTAATTTCTACCTTTAACTAGACTTCTGTGACCACCATTGGATTCTAATATTTTTATTTGTGGAGTCTGCTGTGCAGAGGTGTTCATTTCTATGGAAATGTTCTGAATTCAGTGGAAATGGAGCTTTAAAAGTTGGTGAGCTCTTATATGATCTTCAAATGCAGAGACACATTAAAACAAGTGTTCCCTGTCAGAAAGATTCCTGTTAGGAAGAAGCAATTGGCTGGGCAGGTAACATAAGAGTAAGCCAAGATCATTCTGACAAATCTTGAAAAACAATTGTGCTACATAATGTGTTTGGAGAATGGTCCTGGTTTGTGTGCAATACTCCATAGAGCAGTAACTGGGAAAGGAGAAATTACCTGTTATTTTTACAGCAAGAGGGAAAAATAGAAACTGATTATTGCAGTTTTTTAAGAATGCTAAGTTTGAGATAACTTTTTTGGTTAAAAATATATAAGTGTCTGCTTATATTAATGCAGTGCTTTTGGTTGGGGGGTTGTTTTTTATTTCTTCCCTAATGTTAGACAGTCCAATGGCAGACCAAAGGATGGACATATCTTCTACAATTAGTGACTTTATGTCACCAGACCCTGCTGACTTGATCTCCAGTTCCCTTAGCACTTCAGGAATGGACTGTAATAGGAAAAGAAAGGGAAGCTCAACTGATTATCAGTAAGTTGGATTTCTCTTGATTTAGCACTGCTAAAAGGAGGTGGTAACACAACAATACAGTGGGGAAGAGTATAGAAATATTTATAGCAGTTTTTAAATAACCTGTGCTTTACAGCCTGCTTTAATGGTTTTAATAAAGAAGAGAGCTACTGTGCACTAAGAGCCAAGTTCATTATTTAATAATAATAATAATAAAGCTGTCATCTCAGTGCAGCTAGAATTGAGGGCTATCAAATGGGGTAAAGCTGAGGAGAAAAACTTCTGGCTGGTGGGGGAATGGAATTAGTACTGATGAAATGTACTGTGTGAAGGTTGATTATATATTGACCATTTACATAGGAGATACAATGTCTGACTAACAGAAGGAGAAGATAATAAATTTATTGAAAAGTGGAAGCAAAACTAGGAATAGTTCCTTTTCACCTATTTTTTGCCTATTTAGTCACTTCCTATCAGTGTGCTGCCAACCTTTACCTGATGGAGCTATTTTGGTCTCTCATTTGAAAATGAATCAGAATAGTCTCTGCTTTGAGGTATTAGAGCTGTCTTTCTTTTAATCAAGTGGTTTAATCTTGTGGTGGTTCTGAGCTGTAGAAGGAAATCCCACCACCTCTGCTGTGGAACAGTGAAGGGCACAGCAGAGTTTGCCAAACACCCAGACCTGTAATGGGAACAAGAGCAACCTACTTAGGGCAAGTGCCTGTGCAAGCCTGCTCTGCATTGTAACTCCACAAAGTGTGGCTGCAGGGGAGCTTGTGAGTGGCCACATCCATTATTCATTCATCCAGCCACAGAGTCCATTTTTATGTAGCTTAGCACAGATTTTATTGCTGAGAGCCTTTGGATTGTTGGCAGCTCATTTTACGAGGAGGAGCAGAATTTTTAATCCATGCTGAGCATCACAATTAAAAATTAGATTCTTTTTAGGAGAACTTAGGCACAAAATATTTCAATACCTCTCTGAAGTGCCTTTAGTCTCCCTGAAAAGCACATGTGTCCCTCTAGTCGAATTGACTACTACAAAATTGAGTGAACAGCCTCAGTCCTACCAACTTCCTCTTCTCTAGAAAGGATTTCTCCATTTTTATTCCTCTGGGTAGGAAGCATTACTCAAGTCCTCTTTTCCAAAAGACAGCTTGTTCTTGTAAGGTATAATTCTGCCCTTTAGGTTTTGTGTGCATTTTTTAAAAAATGTGTGAAAACTGTTTCTTTGAATCCTCAGTAAAATAAGTTTACTTATTTTGTAGTCATACACCACATACCACTACTTATCACACAGTCATACCATAGTTCATTTTGTGTTGCAAAGTAAATGGTGGCTACTAAATATTCCTCTTGGAAAGCAGAACTTCAGGGGGGCTGCCTTGACCCCTCCTTTTATGTGTATGTATGGGCAAATTCAACTTCTGCTACCTGTTAATGATTTTATTACATCAATTATCCAAGTGCCCAGTTTGGTGCCTCCTGTACCAGTGAGGCCAGGGAATAAGGGAGGCAGAACCAGTGGTTTAGGGTGGTTCTTTGATCACCTCTGGAATACAAGCAAGAGGAGTCATCAGCTGCAGTTTCAGCTCTCCACAACAGCTTTTCAGTTCTTTCTGCTGCAGCTGCTCCAGGAAAATCCCTGCCCAACTTAGAGCTGTCAAATGCTGTGGTCCAAGGCTTCATGCACAGGACTATGAACAGTGGATTTTGCTTGGGATTCAAGCTGTCCTTTGAAATATTACATGATGAGAAAATAAACTACCCTGTTGCATTAATAGCTTACCTTGTGCCTCTTGTAGATTTGGCTTTCTGGGGGTTTTTACACACAAACATCCCAGAGCTAAAGGTGGTGTCACAAGGGCTGGGAAATGGTGAGCATCAGCCAAGAGCTCAGGTGTGCACACTGGGAGATGAAGAAAATATTTAGCATTGTTATTAATATTATTTTAAAACTAATCACAAAGATAATTTATATAATACTGCACTAAAATGAATAATACTGCACTAAAATGAAAGGCTACCATGTTTGTTTTTAAGAGGGCTCATGTCCAGTGGTGAACAGGAATAACTAGTATGTTATTGGCTGAAATAAAAAGACTTTTTCATAAGGCTTTTATAAAACTTAGCCTCTTATCATGCCAAAGCTCAGTGGTATTTCAGGTCACTTTACAGTCTTGAAGTGATGCCAGCAGTTAGTTTGCATGTAGAAATTCTGTTTAATTTCCTTGTGATATCATAAAGTCTGTATAAAGTTCAGCTTGGGACTTTAGTCTAAAGCAAAATGTGCATCTATCCTGCTGGGCAAGAATCAAAACCTGAGAAACTTGGGATACTTTATTTTTATTTTTATGTTTTATTTCTGGCCTTAGAGTCCTCTGAAATCCCATTTATCTAACCACAAGGACAACATGCTTAATGCACAGATCTTTCCTTTCTGAAGATGAAACAATATCTCAATGATTTGCATAACATAATTTAGGTTAGTTATTTTATTAGTTTTTCACATTAAGTGTAATGAACTATGCTCTCTTTTCTAAAAAAGCAGAATTATTCTTTCAGAAAGTAGATTCATTTGAACGAGCTTGTTTCTTTAGAAAGTGCTCACTGCTATTGTCCTGTTTTCATTGTGCTTTTCATTTCAAGTAGAATCTCAATTAGCTTGAGACTTTCAGCAGAAAATGTAAGACATTGTTCTTATTTCCTATATATGGTGTACTTTATTTTTCTTTCTTTTCAGACTCGATGGCTTTCCTTTTGAGTAAGTATAAATATTTTAGTAATTGGTTTCACTTGAAAAAGATGCCCAGTGGTTTTTTCCTTGCCTTTTGCTTCCATAGACCTAAAATTCACAGGTAGAAATTAAACCAGAATGAGCAGGCCCAGGAATGTCCATGTGAGCGCAGTTGTACAGATTTATGTAAACCGAAACATTCTCTTCCTAATTATTCTGTCTAAAAAAAGATGTGTAGTCATGAGCATTTAGCTTTTTCTACCAAGTGCAGCTATGAAAACTTTTATACTCTCCTCTCCTGCTTAGTTGTGCACATGTGGCTGCAATATTGAATGTAATGAGGGGGATTGTTTCTATTCTTCATGCCTCTCTCCTTCTTTCCTTTATGTTGAAACAAAAGCAAACCATGTTACCTACACTGAAAGTTGTACTAATTTCCAGTGTGCCTGGTTATTTCACACAGACTCATTCTCTCCTTGCATTTGGCCATCTCCAGTGGTGTGTTAATTTAGGTTGTTACCATTTTCTACCCCAGAATCAACCACTATAAGGCAAACTGAGCTATAGAACATAAAGGCATAATTCTGAGACCATCTGCACAAGGTTGGGTTTTTTCCCCCTCCTGTAGTTAACTGAAAAACATTTTTGTAACAGATGATATCTTTGAACTGCAGCATGTTTTACTGTCAAACACATCAAACTGTGCCATTTAGTGAGTTCTGAAGGAGACACAACTAATTTAAGAAAATGTTTTAATGTTACAAAAACCACACAGCTTCCTTAGTCCTTCCAGGTTGTTGTTTTCATACTCCTATTTTTGTATTTGTGATTTCGAGGTGGCAGGAATACTTGATTCTGACTTTGTGGTGGTTGGATAACGGTTCTGCCAGTCCTGCTGAATTTGTGATGTGTTGCTTTGTTCTGTTTCTGCAGGGAAGGTATGGATACAGATAAAGATGACCAACATGGCAGGTACTGTTGATACAGTCACTGAACTCTCAGTTCCACAGTTCTGACACAGGATCCCGACTGTGGATGCCTGTTCTCAGTGTCACTGTTGTCCCAAATTATTGCTTTGTTGGCATGAAGCAATAATCTAAACAACCTTAGTTTAAACAACATGGAGCAGACAAGCTAAAACACCCCCAAGTCAGAGGTGCAATGTTACAGATACTGATCTTTGCTGTAGAAAGGTTAAATAAACATTCAAATTCTAAAAACACCTGATGTTAATGAGGATCAGTAGGATGTGAGATGCAGTAAAAGAGTTGGGTTCAGTGCTTTCAACACTGTAACTTTGTGATGTCATTTCTCTACAGATTGGAGTATGCAGACCAACAAGGCAGGATAAAAAATGCAAGGTAATGCTCTAAATAAATATACTTAAAATAATTGTCTCTTTCTTTTTGCCATGTATTAATTATTTGTGCATGTTTCTTCTGCAAATATCTTTTTCTAGCTTTGACCTTCCTTTATTTTTCCATACCTTTGCAATGTTGACATTTTTCATTAAGTTTGCATAGAGTGAAACACCTAATCTGGTGAGTAACTTGGTTTTAGTCACCTCATTGCTGTTGAAATTGAAGCCAGATATGCTTCTGGTAAAGTTGCATTCTTCATCATTCTTCTTTCAGACTCCATAGTGGGTTGTGAAAGTGTTAGCAGTGAATCTTAACATGGGAAAATATAAACCTGACCAACACTGGGTGTGTTTTCTGGCAAACCACAAGCTTGTGCTGCAGCCTTTCCCGTTGCTTATAACTGTTCTTTACTCAAAGAATTCGCAACAAATATCTGAAGAGTGTCTCAAATATCTGAAGAGTGTCTGCTGTCCTTTCCATGAGGATAACAGAGTGGCTCCCTCACCCTGAGGAGGTTGCTTTGGGCATTTCTCCTTGTGCTTCATGTACATCCAATATCTGAAGAGTGTTTTGCAGAGATAAACAAAACCCCACAACTTTGTGAAAGTTGTAAAGCTGGTATGTTTATCACATCACTGGACACATGTGGAGATTGCTCTCCTTAAAAGACACGTGTACCTCTGGGAACTTCAGGTCCCTTTTTATCCCCCTCTCAGATACATATGCATACAGTTTCACAATNGCAGCCGGACTCCCGGTCAAGACGGACATCACGCCCGGGCCCTCGCGCCTCTGCTCCGGGGCACGGCGCTCCTTCTTCTGCAGGATGAAGTGCAACAGGCCCTCTGTCAAGGTAGAAGACAAGGATTTCCCTTCAACCTGCTCAAAGAAGAAAGGTAACCATCATGTTTTTGTTGCCAAGGCTGTCGGGATTTTTTTTTTAATGCTGCTCGTTCGCAGTGGTTGAATTTTTTACGTTTGTCGATGTTTCTTATTAACATTCTGAGCTATGTCTTGGTCTGTTACCTCTTCAACCTCCCTCTTGCCCCCCTCCAGTATCTCTTACACACCTGTAGTAGCATTTAGAGCCAAATTCTCCAATCTGATTTGTTGAAACTTTTTCAGGCAATGTGTGCCAGCAGCTCTGGGGGGTTATTGCATCATCTTCAGACATTGGTCAGATCACGTTCACTCTTGACCACCTGGCCAATGTCTCCACTAAAGGGGAGCTGTTCCTTGTTCTCTGCCCAGGGATGTGTAATTCTAAGTTCATCTGTGGGTGTGGTACATTCTGAGTACTGGAAACGTGGCATTTCTACACCTTGTGGCCTTAGCAGTGTTGGTAATATTTTCTCCTCTGCAGGCTATTATTCTAGGCATGTTGGAATATATATTTAGCCCAAATGTGAAAGTTTCTTCTTTGAGTACTGTGAATGATCCATTTGGTGTAGTTAAAGTGAAAAGACAAACAGCAAGAGAACAGAGGCAATTTTGGTGCATCTTTGGCTGTGGCAGCTGCCCCAAGTCCCTGTGAGGTTCAGGCTCAACCTTGGATGCTGCTTTTGTGCTCTCTGCTGAGGGAGCCAGTTTGAGTGGTTGGCATAAGCCTTTTACTCCACCTATGAAAGTCATCTTCCTTGGAGTTTTCAGGCCTGCTCAGTGCTGAGGAATGGGAATTCTTTTGGATACAGACTTTTACTGGCCATTGCAAATCTTCATCACCCCTGTGTGCCCCACATACCCCAGAGAGAGTATGTTCTGCCAAACATGGGTTTTGTAGGAGCCTCAGGTTAATATGAAAGAGGCATCTTATTTATTAATCTACTAATTTCTTCATACGTTCCTTTGGGTTATTTGCCTCTTTTGCTGACCTAATAAAATGTGATGCAATTTCTGCTCAAAATTACCAAAAGCAACCTTGGTCTGAACTATGTGATGTTTCAGCATAAACAGTGGTTTTTCCAAGATAAATTGTTTATTGGATTATCTCAGATTAGCTGCTTTACAGCAGGAGTGCTGAAAAATCCCTTGGAATCCCAGAGCCATTAAGGTTGGAAAAGGTTTCCAACATCATTGAGTCCCAGCCTCTGGGCAAACATCCCCCTGTCAGCCAGAGCGTGGCTCCGAGTGCTCTGTCACTTCTGGGACACCTCAGGGATGGGGACTCCAGCACCTCCCTTCCAATGCTGGACAATCCTTTCTGTGGAGCAATTCCTGCTGATGTCCAACCTTTAACTGAATATTACCATGTCAACTAGACCATGGCACCAAGTGCCACATCCAGCTGTTTCATCACCACCTCCAGGGATGGGGACTCCACCACCTCCCTGGGCAATGCTGGACAATCCTTTCTGTGGAGCAATTCCTGCTGATGTCCAACCTGACCCTGCCCTGATCAGCTTGAGGCCGTGTCCTCTCATCCTGTCACAGCTGGGAGGAGAGGCCGATCCCCACCCTGCTCTACCCTCCTGTCAGGCACTTCCAGAGAGTGACAAAGTCACACTCAAGTGATTTTGTCACTGGTAAAGTCTCTGACTTTAACTGGCTGATAAAGACTCCAAAGTCACCCCTGAGCCTCCTTTGCTCCAGGCTGAACACCCCAGCCCCTCCTCAGTGAAGAGTATCCCAAATTTCCTGTATGACAGAGGAGGTGCATTACTAGCAGAATTGAGTTGAAGTTCTCCAAAGCTGTACCCACGACCTAACTGCTTTCTTGGGTTTTGTTGGTTTGTTTTTTTTTTGTTTGTTTGTTTGCATTTTGTTTCGTTTGTTTTTTTTGTTTTCTTTTCTTTTCTTTTCACAGCAGACCGCAAAAGCTTTTGCACTATTCATAGCACAGGCTACTTAAAAAGCTGGCCTCCCACAAAGATGGGCCTGGACGAAGATAACGAGCCCGATAACGAGGGCTGCAACCTGAGCTGCCTTGTCGCCATCGGGAGGCTCCATCCCCACGTGGTGCCGCAGCCGGCGAACGGCGAGATCCGGGTGAAGCCCACCGAGTACGTGTCCCGGCACGCCATCGACGGCAAGTTCGTCTTTGTAGATCAGAGGTGAGAGCCGCGAGCAGCTGCAGCCCTGCCTGTGCCTCAGCGTGCCCTGCAGCGCTGTGTCAGTGCCAGAGCAGCCTGCCCTGCAGCGCTGCCTGTGCCTCAGCGTGCCCTGCAGCGCTGTGTCAGTGCCAGAGCAGCTGCAGCACTGCCTGTGCCTCAGCGTGCCCTGCAGCNTGTGTGTGTGTGTGCAGGGAGGCTCACAGCCAGATCGAGAAGCGGCGCAGGGATAAGATGAACAGCTTCATCGACGAGCTGGCCTCGCTGGTGCCCACGTGCAACGCCATGTCCCGCAAGCTGGACAAGCTCACCGTGCTCAGGATGGCTGTCCAGCACATGAAAACACTTCGTGGTGAGTTGCCTGGGGCTGCAGGGCCGTTCCAAGTGGCATTTCCCCAAAGCTACGCTTTTCCTTTCCCTTTTTTGCCCAGAAGGAGTAACTTAATTTGTCACATTCACATTCTCCCTTCGCCCAGGATTTTACTCCTGGGAAGCTGAGAAGCCTCAGAGAAAAGGAAAACAATTCTTATCTCATTTCCTTCTGTATTTTGCTCATGTGGAATGTGTTTGGAGATTGTTTACCACAGGTGATTGTTTCATTGGATTCTGCTGTGAGTTGTTTTGACTGTGGCCAATGAATGCTGAGCTGTGTCGGGGCTCTGGAAAATTCTTTCTATATTCTTAATATAGAAAATTTTAGTATTCTTTAATATAATATAGTATCACAAAATAATACATTAGCCTTCTGAGAACATGGAGTCAGATTCATCATTCCTCCCTGCCGCAAGGGTCCCCACAAATAAAATATTAATTCATTTCAGGAGGATTCCTCCCTTCTCTTAGCATCTGATGCTCAGTTTTCATTCACAGCTTACTAGTTCATGGTCCAGTAAATACCCTGATGTGACTGGGGGAACCTGGGGATGAGAAAAGAATAATTTTCCATCCACTGATCACTACTGCCAGACTCCACAGCACCAGGCAGCTGGGGAAGGTGGGGAGAGGGAACAAAGGGTTTAAGGGCAGAGCACAGCTGATTCTGGTGAAGTGCTAAGCAGGCAATATACCAGGTTGTTGGATAGAGAGGTTAGATTTTAGGTATGATGTTCCCACAGGACTTGTAAGGTTTTGTGTTTGTACCTTTAGCTCTGTGTGAAAAAATAAAGAGTACTTGGAAAACTTAATTTTGGTCTTTTTGACCAGTTTCTGTTGCAAGCACTTGAAGGGAACACACAGGTTTGGAAGAGTTGAGGTTGTGAGAAATTGCTGTGTGTTCCTGAAGCTTCACATGACTGAATCAGTACAATTGGTGCTGATGTTAAAAGCTTTAAGCCTTCAAGAAATGCATTAGTGAGTAGAAAAAAGGGATGCAGCTAATGGTAAAAAAGATCCTGGTGATTGTTGTATTTCTAGGAGAGCTGGTGCCTTCAGTCATATCTAGCCTCACAGTTTTGGAAGGCTTAACTTTCCTGCCACTGCCATTTGATGAGGTTAATAGTTTATAACACTTCAGTGGTTACTAATTTGACTCTCCTCTGCCTTTATGAAGAGAACAGAATGAGAAGAATTACTGCTTAATAAATAGCTGCCTCGTTTGTTGCCAGTTTTGGGGTTTTGGCATTGTAAGATGATGTCATTGTAATGCCGAGTTTTATCTTTGGCTTGGAATGAGAGAATTGATTTGTAAATTCCTCAGTCATGATTTGTTTACATAACCTTGTCATGTTTTACTGACTTATAAGGAGAATAAATAGTTTGAATGTTTTTATTCTATGGTATCTTATTGTTATAATTTCTAATTGTGAGGCTAGGCCATAAATCAAGGACAGCCTTTGGGTTCAAAAATATGTCAAGGAATACTTTTATATCTCAGAGGCATTTAATTTGCATTTCTAATGCAGTATTTGTGTCTTAGCAAAAAAAGCTTCATCCTTTTTTAAGTTAATACCAACAGAGGTCATGTTGATAGTAAAACCAAAGGAAATTCATTTTAAAGAACTCCTGCAATAAACAGCAGCCTGAGAAGGAGCCAAAGGAAGATTGCTCATTTAAGTGTGCAATGTTGGTGATGTGGGAATTGTTTGTTTTCTTTAGGTGCTACAAACCCATATACAGAAGCAAACTACAAGCCTGCTTTTCTATCAGACGATGAATTAAAACACCTTATTCTCAGGGTATGTTCCAACTTTTAATTAAGAGATATTAATATCTGTGACTGTAGCACTCCCAAAGCCCACCGCCAGTATTTTTCTGCCTTGTCTGTCAGCTTAAAAATGTTTTGATTATGGAGGATAATTAAGAAATCTGGAGCCTACTTCACAGAGTCAGTGAGTTTAATGAAGACTAGCATTTCTTAATTCAAGCAGGAAGGTTGAAGAGGGGGATTTAGATGGGAACCATTGGAATATTCAGTTCTTTACATGTACAAACCACATGAATAGTTTTCTTGCAGACTTGCTGCCCTGGGTTACCTTGCATGACTTTCAGTGTACAGTGATTCATTGAACACCTTTTTATTGAGGTTACTGATGGAACATGACTTGGTGTGTCTGGCTGCCTGCTGTTACACTGCTTTTATAGTGTGGGGAGCTTCTCTCTTCTCTCATTAGTCAGTAGTTCAGCTTTTCTAGTGGCTGTGTAATTGTTGAAGCACTGCAGTGTCCAGGTGCAGCATATGTAGAATTTAATTTCTGCAGCATTGTGACTCTGAAGATACATAATTGGGGCCTATTCCTGCATGCTTGTGTGTGACTGAAAGACAGTACTTTGCAAATAGGAATTACTTGTCTCCAGGCACAGAAATAAACATCCAGGTTATGGTTGGTTTCTAAAAGAGGAGCTTTTTTAAGTACAGTTAAAATAACATTTTAATTTGAAGGCATTATTAAACATAATCATAATATTATTGGGCAAGACATGGGTTCTTTCTTCTCCTAAAAGTTATTTTACATTCTGGGCACAATGCCCAGAATCGTGCCAAAAAATGTTTGCAGATGCAAAAAAACCCCTTCATTGTAATTCACATTTTTTCCTGTTGACTCAGTTACCTCTAAATGTTAAGACAGCTCTCCTAGTGTAGAATTTCTACTGTACACAAAGTGCTTTTAAAGGTTATAGCAATGCAATGTGGATGTATAACTTGGGATTTCACTTTCTCCCCCCGATTAGGCAGCAGATGGATTCCTTTTTGTGGTGGGCTGTGACAGAGGAAAGATACTGTTTGTTTCAGAATCTGTCTTCAAGATCCTCAACTACAGTCAGGTATTCCTTTCCATTTTAAGTACATTAGGGCTTAAAAGATGTGAGAGCTTTTTGATGGTTGTGCCTTTATCTGGGGGGTAGGGATGGGAAGAGTCTGTCTTGAAAGCTGAGAGGTGTTGCAAAGAGAGAGCTTTTCTCTGCCATGTCATTAGAGAAGATTTACTGGTTTCCATTCAAAGCAAGAGGTGAAAAGGAACTAAATTTAATTCATTGACTGAGGCATTCTGCTCAAGGATTTACCCTCGGGCTTGCAAAAGCATTACCTAATTGGGAGTGCAAGCAAATATTGAAACATCACTCTGGGGTTTTTCCAGTAGCATCACATGGATTTTTCAGCTTAGTTTTCTTTCTGTCTGTTCTGGTTTTGCTTGCATGCTTACTGATGGAAACTGGAAAGCAGTTCTATCAAAGCCAGGTTTTTAATATATGCTCACCATAAGGCTTAAGTTGGACCATATATTGTGTAAATAATTTTCATTCTTTCTGTCATCTGCACTTGCTCATCAAATTTAAACCTGTATTTGCTTCAAAAGTTTTCCTCAGCCAGCATTTAGTTAGGTATATACTAAATTCATATGTAAATAATGAAAGAGAACATTTGCAATTAGGATTTTTTTTTTTCATTCAAATGTGTGGTAGAAGAAGTAAGACTTAATAGAAACCAGAATATTTGGTGGGGGGGAATTGAGCATGCCAATTCTGCAAAACTACTGAAAATGTTGACAGGAATTACTGTGTAATGTAGTCATAACTTCAATACACAGAGAAAACCTTTCATCAAATCATAGAATAATAAAATTGTTTGGAAGGGACCCTTTAAAGGTCAACCAGTACAAACCCCCTGCAATGAGGGGATCTGGATGTTTGGTATTCCTTGGTTACACCTATGTGTAAAAGGATTGTTCATACTGGAAGCTAAAATGAAGAAAACATACTGAGCCATTATTTTACTTTTTGACTGAATGTTCAATCTCTACAGAATGATTTGATTGGTCAAAGTTTATTTGATTATCTCCATCCTAAAGACATTGCCAAAGTGAAGGAGCAGCTCTCTTCTTCTGACACCGCGCCACGAGAAAGGCTTATAGATGCAAAAAGTGAGTGTTCCCACTTGGGGAAAATGTCATCCAGAGTCACTGCTGCTGGGGCTTTGCCTCGTGTCACAAGTGGGGATGTGGGGGGATGCTGCCTGGATTGCCTCATGCCAAGGAAGTTGTAGCTTAAAGACAGCAAGAAACAAAAAAAAGAAAAAACAAAGTGTTGAACAAGTTCCTGGAAGCTGTTGGGTTTGGCATGCACTGTGGCACAGAGGCATTACTGGAACTGGCTTCACCTGTGAGGTGTCCTCTCTCTTCCAGGCATCAAACCTTTCACTTTTTCCATTAGAACACATGCAGCATTTCTTCTAATCCATCATTCTAAATGGTCAGAATACACTCAGTATTATCTTGGTAGTCCTTAGCTGTCAGCCAAGATAGAGGATTCAATTTATTTATCTACTTATTTATTGCTTAGTGCCATCAAAGACCCTGCCTTTCTCTCAGAACGTTTTTAACTTTGGAATAATTTCCTGCCATGTCTCTTAGCTCTCTTCCATTCTGGTATTTTCAAGTAGTTCTGAATCTCTGCTGCTCTTGGGGTGAGTGGGTGTTTAATTCCCTCTCACAACAGGAGTCTGCGCTGCTGAAGTGGAAGGTGGTATCTTACAACTGCAGATTTGCAGGCCATTAAGTCTCATGCTTGTCAGGAGCAGAAATCTCCTGGATCTCAGCTCACAGAAGCCACCAGCTCCACTTCAGAAACTGAAGTTGGGAGAGATCATTTGAGGGCAGGGAGCCTGGAGGCTTCAGCAGAATCAGCTGAAGTTTTTTTCTGGCTCCTGGTTTCATCGCTTGTCAAGCATGAATATCCAGTGCTGCCTCCTGGTTTTTTGTTGGGTTTTTTTGTATGGTTCTGACAAAGTTAGGGCAAAAATAAATACTATGAATTGCAGTCTTCCCATCTGCTATGATAGACGGATTGGTAGAGTTTCAAGAACTCATACTGGTGAAGAGTATGAGGATGTATGCATGTATTTATTTTTGTCTTGGCATGAGTAACTCAGCACAGCTTGTACTCACACCACGGTGCAGCAGTTTGGAGGCCGTGTGGTGCAGGGCAGCCTGACCTCCTGGAGAGCACCTCACTCCAGTGGAATTGTAAGGGAGGCACACTTTCCACTAAAATACTGGAATTACTGGGATTCCTCCTCATGTTAAAAGCCCACAAGGCCTGAGAAGTTTTTGTTCATGTTGACAACTGTCTGATTTTACCATGCAGTCATGGTTGGCAGGCTGTGGAAAAGCTGCTGTGTGATTTAAATCCTCCAGCAGCCCTTGGTGGTACCTGTGCTCCTGATGCATGCCGTGGAAGCATTCCATGGCTTCTCAGATGTTGAGAAAGATGAAAGTTTGACAAGAAAGTCTCGCAGATATGGATGCTTAGCAGAAAGATTTTTAAATGTGGAGTCTGATGAAGGAATAGAGATGGAAGCAAGTTCTGATACAGAAGAAAAGAATTGCTGAGCCAGTCACACTGGATAACCAAGGAGGCAAAGGGTGTGTGAGTTAGAAGGGGTTTTATGGCTTAGAGCAAAGGATAAACCCACCCCAAACAAGAAGATGTTTTTGTACCAAGCAGGAAGAGAGCCCAGGCAAACAAGGCAGCAAAGTTGCAAGTAGAAAAAAGGTCTCAGAATTTTCCACTGCAAGAAAACTGAATAACAACTGTATTTTTTGCAGTTCCTGTGTGGCTCCCTGCTACCTTTTCTCCTCCATCTCTCCCTGGAGTGTCATTTGGACTCTTCTGCTCCATATGCACACACGTTTTCTGGGAGGGTGTTGTGATAGAAAAGAGTCAGTCTGAAGGGTCAGGAGCCTCCTGAGTGACTGTGTATGGAATTCTGCTCTGCCTGGGGAAGAGTAATCTCTCTATTTTTAACCAGTTCAGAGAAATTGCAGTGTTTATCACAGGACTTGTGTGGATTTGCCCAATCTCTTGCTGATGTTTACACTCAGAACCTCCTGTTCTCCAGCCTCAGTGCTCCAACAGCAGAAAGCAGAGTCAGAAGTTACAGTGTTGGTATTGATGCCTTAAAGAGCTGGAACAGAGGCAAGACAGAGTTATTGGGAATAAAGTGGATGTTTATTGAAGAGCCTTCAAAGGCCACACCCTGGCAGTACCTGGATGGCTCTAAGATGGAAGCAAAGGAGGGCTTGGTCATAAGAGCTCACATTTTTACAAGTTTTGGTTCATTAGCATATTGGAGCTAATTGTCCAACCACAGCTCCAGCCCATGCAGTCCCATCCTGTTTGTTTTTCCTCTCTTCAGTCCACGCTGTTTATGCTCTTGGGCCTGAGATGAGGATTGGCTGTCCTTGGATGGCCAGCTAGAGAAAGAATTGTTGTGTCTGCCTACTCTGCAAAGAGAGCTTACTATCCCCCTATATGAAACCCAGACCCACACCTAACTATCCCCTTATATGAAAACCCACACCTTACTATCTCCTTATATGAAACCCAGACTCACACCTAACTATCCCATTATATGAAAAACCACATCTCACCATCTCCTTATATGAAAACTCACACCTTACTATCTCCTTATATGAAAACCAACACCTTACTATCTCCATTTATGAAAACTCACACCTTACTACCCCTTATATGAAACCCACACCACAGCAGCACAAAATCGAAAAACATAGCGAAAAAACAAAAAGCTAAAACCCGAGGTATCAGTGTGGCCAGCTGGGCCCTGCACAGTCACACACATCAAAGCCCCAAAAGCAGGAGAGGCAGTGCCCAGAGGGGTGAAGCCCTGTGGGCTGGGTTTGGGGTGCTTCCCTCTGACCCTGCTCCCTCGCTCGCAGCCGGACTCCCGGTCAAGACGGACATCACGCCCGGGCCCTCGCGCCTCTGCTCCGGGGCACGGCGCTCCTTCTTCTGCAGGATGAAGTGCAACAGGCCCTCTGTCAAGGTAGAAGACAAGGATTTCCCTTCAACCTGCTCAAAGAAGAAAGGTAACCATCATGTTTTTGTTGCCAAGGCTGTCGGGATTTTTTTTTTAATGCTGCTCGTTCGCAGTGGTTGAATTTTTTACGTTTGTCGATGTTTCTTATTAACATTCTGAGCTATGTCTTGGTCTGTTACCTCTTCAACCTCCCTCTTGCCCCCCTCCAGTATCTCTTACACACCTGTAGTAGCATTTAGAGCCAAATTCTCCAATCTGATTTGTTGAAACTTTTTCAGGCAATGTGTGCCAGCAGCTCTGGGGGGTTATTGCATCATCTTCAGACATTGGTCAGATCACGTTCACTCTTGACCACCTGGCCAATGTCTCCACTAAAGGGGAGCTGTTCCTTGTTCTCTGCCCAGGGATGTGTAATTCTAAGTTCATCTGTGGGTGTGGTACATTCTGAGTACTGGAAACGTGGCATTTCTACACCTTGTGGCCTTAGCAGTGTTGGTAATATTTTCTCCTCTGCAGGCTATTATTCTAGGCATGTTGGAATATATATTTAGCCCAAATGTGAAAGTTTCTTCTTTGAGTACTGTGAATGATCCATTTGGTGTAGTTAAAGTGAAAAGACAAACAGCAAGAGAACAGAGGCAATTTTGGTGCATCTTTGGCTGTGGCAGCTGCCCCAAGTCCCTGTGAGGTTCAGGCTCAACCTTGGATGCTGCTTTTGTGCTCTCTGCTGAGGGAGCCAGTTTGAGTGGTTGGCATAAGCCTTTTACTCCACCTATGAAAGTCATCTTCCTTGGAGTTTTCAGGCCTGCTCAGTGCTGAGGAATGGGAATTCTTTTGGATACAGACTTTTACTGGCCATTGCAAATCTTCATCACCCCTGTGTGCCCCACATACCCCAGAGAGAGTATGTTCTGCCAAACATGGGTTTTGTAGGAGCCTCAGGTTAATATGAAAGAGGCATCTTATTTATTAATCTACTAATTTCTTCATACGTTCCTTTGGGTTATTTGCCTCTTTTGCTGACCTAATAAAATGTGATGCAATTTCTGCTCAAAATTACCAAAAGCAACCTTGGTCTGAACTATGTGATGTTTCAGCATAAACAGTGGTTTTTCCAAGATAAATTGTTTATTGGATTATCTCAGATTAGCTGCTTTACAGCAGGAGTGCTGAAAAATCCCTTGGAATCCCAGAGCCATTAAGGTTGGAAAAGGTTTCCAACATCATTGAGTCCCAGCCTCTGGGCAAACATCCCCCTGTCAGCCAGAGCGTGGCTCCGAGTGCTCTGTCACTTCTGGGACACCTCAGGGATGGGGACTCCAGCACCTCCCTTCCAATGCTGGACAATCCTTTCTGTGGAGCAATTCCTGCTGATGTCCAACCTTTAACTGAATATTACCATGTCAACTAGACCATGGCACCAAGTGCCACATCCAGCTGTTTCATCACCACCTCCAGGGATGGGGACTCCACCACCTCCCTGGGCAATGCTGGACAATCCTTTCTGTGGAGCAATTCCTGCTGATGTCCAACCTGACCCTGCCCTGATCAGCTTGAGGCCGTGTCCTCTCATCCTGTCACAGCTGGGAGGAGAGGC